CCTGGGAGATAGTGGACGGACCGGGTCCGTAGGGAACCCTACCGGGATTGTGGTCTTCCATACCGGACGGGGTATGGGGATCTTATGTATTTTGGCGCCCATACCGGACGGGGTATGGGGACCGCCCGTTTCACCCTCATACCGGACAGGGTAATGAGGTTTATGGTTTTGGTGCCCATACCGGACGGGGTATGGGGACGGCCCTGGAATATGATTTCAAGTGTTAAGGGTTAACGGGTAGCGGGACCCCTATGGATCCCCATGGATACTAGTGGGCTGGTAAATGAGGAAAATATATTGTGTAACGATTGAATTTCGAAAGGCTTGATAAGTATTACGTTATACAGTTTATACATGATTTCATGATGATAATGATGTTATAGTTTTCGTATATTGTCTTATGAATTTCACCGGGTAAGTGAATGGTAAAGGTTTTATTATTGATAAAAGGTTTTGTTGTAAATTATGCTCCATTGGTCTTTTTGTGTTTTCTACCCACCTTTACCTCCGTGACGGTGAGATATCGTGATGTCCTTACTGGGATAGTATAGCTCATTCCTTATTTAATCATTTCAGATCAGGAAGACATTGTTCCCGAGCCGGTTCCGCAGGAGGACGACGAAGGGGACGCCTAAAGACTCCATAGTCATATTTGTAGCTTTTACTTTCAAGTTTCTCCTTTAGGTAGTTTAATCTTTTATATTATGAACACGTTTTTTATTTTAGTGTAAGGGATGTTAATCGAATTTTTGACTTCGCTTCCGCATTTGATATTTTTAATATACATTCCATTATGAATTTCCGGGGCCGTTACAGTTTTTTAATATCTTAGGGCAGATTTTATTATATTTATTTTACTTGAATTTTTTTCTTAGTTTTCACTTTTCTTAGATTCATTCAAGTGCTTCCCTACATAAAGTCTTATTCAAATCTACCAAAGATCAAATACCTAAACCCCCAATACACCTTAGTTGTTTCACATCCTCCTACTTAACCGAATGATATCTACAATTTCTATCATCATCCCTCCATAAAAAAGTGATATTCAATATTCTCTAGTTTGTTGATCATTTTTATAGGAATAATTCAAGCTGATAAAAATAAATAGAGAGATTGATGAGAGTGTTTTTAATAAGAGTTAATCTCCCTCACTTAGAAAGAAAGTTTGTTTCTCATCTCGCAAGTCTCTTCTCGAATAATTCAATCATCGAGTCCCAAAATTTCATATCTTTATATTTAGCATCCAAAGGTAGACTCAAGTACTTAATAGACAACTAATCTTCGTAGTCTTGTATTAACTGTTTAATAAATAATTACATCAAAATTAAAAATATTGAACTAAAAGTTTTCAGTAAAACTAAAATTAATTGTACAACTGAGTAAATATTTTAGTAAATTACAGTTTAAATATAGTAAAAATAACTAGTATTATTTCTTTTATCAGTTTAATATTTGATGCATAGTCGTCAATTTATACAATATTAAATAATATTATATCTAATATAAAGTGAAGAATATATTTTCACATTCACTAACCATATATTATGCTTTTGCTTTTAATTTATTGAAAATATTTAATAATTCAAGAATAACTTTTCAAGCACTAAAAATTCAATATTTTTTATGGGTGTCAAAGGTGCCAACTCTTTATTTATTTGTTTAAATAATACTTGTAATTAATTAATTATATATATGTATATTATAATGAATAAATTTACTAAAGGTGGTCAATTTGGACTGTTAATTAATTACTTTACCTCTCCATTTTCTTGGATTCTTCTCTCGCATATATAGGAATATATAGGTGTTTAATTATATCATAATCTGTATAATATGGAGATAATATTAATTATGGGGTTTGGAATAAACATATTATAAATTAAAAGATGCATGCATGCGTTGTATTGAAGCTAATAGTAATTACTCATGATTCTTCATTGCATGCAAATTGTAAGTAACAAACACACACACACACATATATATATATACATAAGAATAGGCAGAGAGAAACTCCATAAGGTAAGAAATTAAACAAAGAGAAACTCTACAATTGAAGATTTGTAATCATGTTTCTCACCATTCTGTCTCAGTTATC